AGGGTTTGACGAGTAGAAAGGAAATTTATTCACGGAAAAACACCAAAATTATGCAATAGGAGTAGATAAGCAATAATATATTAACAGTTAAAACCCATGTATACTTTTCTGTACCACTATTCATTACCCTATACAGGGTAATTAAATTCGTGTATAAAATGGCATTTATCAAACTGGATACATAATATACTATTACTAGTGGCGTAGCTAGCCTCGAGGGGGGCCCGTATAAAAAATCTGGTAGGGGCCCTTATACGGGACCAAAAAAGCTGCTGACAAAAAATTTTTTTAGGGTATCATTTTTTTGCATTTACCAATTTTTTATAATTTAATAAATAATATAGGTATGTATGTATACATAGCTATGTACAGGCAAATTTTAAAATTTGGTCTGGTTTTAGAAATTTAGCGTTCTTTAACATCTTTTAAAAGGTTTCTATTTTAAAATAAGGGCAAGTCATTTGAAATAATTGTAACGCTAATAATTATTTCTAATTTGCTATTAATATAACCTATGATAATAACACGCAAAGCAGACAACGCTTAACGGAAAGGTGCGGGCAGAAACAATTCGTATGAGTTCACGGCCTCGTTGGAACGAGGGGGTATTCAGAAAAATTATAATTTAATAAATCGAAGTATAAACAATTAAATACCTAATAATATTATTTATTTATTTAATTTCATGCCTCAATTTTTTTAACATGTGGGTAATATGTTTCTTGCTTAGGCATGTCGACGCCAATCGAGGCCCCCCTAGCCGGGGGCCCCGTATTATTGAAACGGCTGATACCGCGGTAGCTACGCCCCTGACTATTACATTTCTTATATAAACTGTGGAATTCAGTTTTCAAAAAAATGTTGTTTTTTATTCGATTGCGAAATTATTATGCATTCTTGAATAATTTTTTTGCTCGCTATTGCTCACAACAAACTTTAATTCTCGAATGCAAGAATGGCATTTCGCAATCTAGCATCAAAAATAACTATAGACCAATCAGGTGAAGTTTTTTACATCCCATTCTGTATAAAACAGGACTAATGACAGTTCTGTAGCATCTAGCCTCACTTTATACTTTTAATAATTGTTATTACGTTTTTTATACGTTTTATGTATTGTTTAACACATAAAACTGAGCTTTGAAGATAAAATGTTGAATGCCATTCGGCTGAGACGTGTCTTTTTAGCCTTATGACGTAAATAACTATTTTTAAACTAAAGAAATAAGTAATTTTAAACATAATAATAATAACATAATAATCTACTTCTTACATTCAACCAGTTTTTAGACACAAATTAATATTGATTTTGCCATATCCAACTCAACAATATGTTAATGCCTCGTTAACAACAAATTTTTCTTTTTCTCGGTGCAATATTTCTTTACAATTTTACAAAGTGATTTGTTGACCCCTTAACACGTTACCAGCAATAAAACTAAATAACGCTTGCTTAACACAAAAAAAACAAAAATAAAAATACCTGGAATAGGCGAAGAATACCCGGAAATTAAAATAAATGTATAACTCTCTATCAAGCTTTTACTGTGCATTGTTGTTTGTTTTTAAAGGCCGCTAAGTTAAATACATATGCTCGCCGGGTTAAAAATAAATCCAAATACGAATACCGAAACAGTTAGGTACGTTTTATCTCTGTGGCCATTTTACAAACACCAAAGCGTAAATTTCTTGTAATACTTTTCGTTAACCGCAAACTATGTTAAATGATTCGAACGATTTTAAAATAGTCGTTTAGAACAATGTAACTTTGTTACATGTAAACATTGGATTCATTAAAAACTAAAATAAAATAATGGATTATGGGCGTGCGATTTTTTGACAATTAGTCGCTTTTTTGCGGTGAAACTCATCAATCACTTTAACAGATTGGCTCGAAAATTCAACAACTTTATCAAAAATGAAATTAAAACAAACACTTGAGGTCGGGCATGACAATGTACTTTTATTAAACATTTTACCGGTTTCATGGCTAAAATTTTATACTTTGTTGAAAATTATACCTTCATTATGGTATCATTTAAAAAGTTCGAAACGTTACTAATAGAGTGTTAAAGCAAAACTAGTTTTTTAACAATACACTGTCATTAATAATAGGCTTAGAATCTGAGCTCGAAAATTTTAATGAATTGTGATGTGTTCGAAAATAACGAACCCGAACTGTGTCATTAAACAGCCTTATTTCTCTAACGGTAATGGGGAATAGTTATAAGGCATCCTCCCATACCATGACCTCTCATCTATAGTATAGGTACCTTCCTATAAATAGCAAATACGCTTCTTACTGCCTCGGTGACTCGCTTGATTAAGTGCATCTTTAATCTATAGATACACAGTTTTGACATTATTAACCTTTCAATTTTACATTAAATTTTAGAATTTATATACCTACCTTTAGAAATGTAGGATTTTTTAATACACTGGTGTTCACAATTTCTTACATAAGAATTAGTAATCTATGCGACTAGAGTTTTAAAATATCCGGAAGAATTCAGCTGTCGAAAAAACCGATTTTCCAAAGAAACACGGAATAATTGAAACATTTTCAGAAAAATCAAAAAAATTCAGTAAAATTGGAAAATTTCCAGAAAAATTGACTTTTGCATTTTTTTTTTCATTTTATTTAAAGCGTAATACGAACAAAATGCAAATTATAAATTTCCAAATTTTTATGGATAATATCCGAACACTGATATCAAGAAAAAAGGAAATTTCCAACGGTGATTATAATAACAAATATTATGATTATAATAATTATTTTATTTTAATTCAGTACAAAAAAACATATTTGGTGCTGTCCGTTTTTTTTTTGTTCTTTTTTAGGTTTTTTTGTTAAAGATTAGTCCCATTTGCCTAATTTTTTATGTTTCCAGTTCATGGGCTAAAATTAGCCACTAAATTACATTTAGTAAATGTAAATACAGTTGGTCCTAAAAAAAATAACTATAGGTAGTATACCTATATTATTTTTGATTCAGCGCTTGATTTTTCAAAAAGCTACCAAAAGCACTTTTTCATGATTTTTCAAATTCATGTGGAGTATGGAAATATTTTTTAATCTACACTCACGTGCAAAATAATCGATCCACACAAATTTTCAATGAATTTCAATCGCAAATAACTTTTTTATTTGATCTCGGATTTAAACGAATATTAAAGAATATTGTAGATAAATTAATGGACAATCGCTCACATTTTAAAAAAATACTAAAAAATAGACGTACGTTTATAATATACAGGTTTAAACAAAAATATATTTTTTACCATAAGTTTAAGACACACTGTAGAGTAGCAAAACCGTATATTGTTCTAAATAAAGTTTTATTTATCAAGTCACATCTATTCTTAACAGTTTTGTTTTTGGTTCACCTCGATATATTTATTTTTGTGGAAAATATGGATTTTTTTAAAAAACATTGCAATTTCCAATATTTTTCCTGTATGAAGAACTAAGTTTGCTATGGTCCATCCATAGCCTATGGAGAATGACAGTGACAGTTTTGTTGAATCATCCCATACTTGGACATGTCATATACAGCTTTCAAAAGCTATCAAATTGTTTTTTGTAAATTAATGTGTTAATTTTGAGGTGTCTTCTTACTTTTAAAAATATCTCCGACTGATGTTGCCCTTTGTACTTTACTTCTTATGACGTTTAAAACACTTGCCACGTAATACTGTGACCGTCCATCCTGGATTAAATTAATAGCTCTGGCAACATCAGTCGGAGACATATCCATTTTATAAAGTAAGAAACCTCAAAATTTAAACATTAATTTACAAAAAACAATTTGATAGCTTTTGAAAGCCGTGTATGACATGTCCAAGTATGGGATGATTCAACAAAATTGTCACTGTCATTCTCCATAGCCTATGGATGGACCATAGCAACCTACAGAAAAATATTGGAAATTGCAATGTTTTAAAAAAAATCCATATTTTCCACAAAAATAAATATATCGAGGTGAACCAAAAACAAAACTGTTAAGAATAGATGTGACTTGATAAATAAAACTTAATTTAAAACAATATACGGTTTTGCCACTCTACAGAGTGTCTTAAACTTATGGTAAAAAACATCTTTTTGTTTAAACCTGTATATTATAAACGTACGTCTATTTTTTAGTAATTTTGTAAAATGTGAGCGATTGTCCATTAATTTATCTACAATATTCTTTAATATTCGTTTAAATCCGACATCTAATAAAAAAGTTATTTGCGATTGAAATTCATCGAAAATTTGTGTGGATCGATTATTTTGCACGTGAGTGTATATTACATGTACCTAGGTACCTACCTAATGCAAAATTAATTTATTTAAAAATTCGGAAAATCGGACAAATTTTCCAATTTGTACTACGGATAATAAGAAAGAAATGCAAAAGTAAATTTTCAATCAAAGTTTATTATTTTTTTATAAAATAGGTTTAAAATTATAATTATAATTAGTCTAGACAACTCAAGTAGTAAAAGTATTAAAAGTAAAAACCTAAAACAATATTTCAGTTAAAATGTTTGTTTTGTGACTAGGGTTTAAGAAATTTCATCCTGTTTTGGAAGGTCTGATAGTTTGGTATAAATAGAATGTTTGGAAAACATATATAACTATTAGAAATAATTAAATTAAAACGTTTTAATGTTTTTAATAAACGAAACATATTTCTACAATTTATGTTGATAGTATTAATTAAATTGCACAAATTGAGTAAGAAACAATAAAATTATTATGTTTATGAGATTTTAAATTACTTACATGAGTTTTCTTAATAAACTTTAATTGAATACACACCTGAAACAAATAATATAAATTAGAAATAATTACAAATAAAATCAAAATAAAAAATAACGAAAACGTGTACTAAAATTGTTTTTAGTACACTAAGTTATCGTGTTATCTGCGAGGGCTTTTTCGTATGTCAAGCAAAGGTTAACCTTAATTAATGTCAATTGTGAACAGTACTTGGTCTTGAAATCCTTAAAACATGACGAGCGACAGCTATTTGCAACTGGATGCGGATGATTCGGAACGGTTAAAGCAGTTAACCGCCGAATCAAGAAGAGTATCAGGAGATCAAAGATATAGATTTTCAATTGGAATGCCTTTTTCGGAACCAGCAAGTGCGTACCAAAGTTTGGAGGATATTAATTTGCTGGATGCGAAAACTCTTGGACCTGAGATATTTTCGAATAGCAGTATTGTTTCTAAAATCAAGCCGTTTCAAATAAAACAAGCCTATGGAATCAACACCGATTGTAATATTTTGAACTTCAGCACCAAGGAAAAGGTTCAAGTTTTTTACACTGCCGCTCACCTGGGCGTTTTGTACGATTACTGTAAAAATGAATTTTCGTTCTTCGAGGGCCATCATAATAAAATTGTGGCATGTTGCAGCGATGATTCCGGTAACTACTTGACAACGGCTGACGCTGGAGAGGATGCCTGCGTTATAGTTTGGTGCGTGAGAGATTTTAAGCCCATCTTTACCATTTTTAACATCTATCCCGGTTTCGGTTGCTCGACTCTACGTATGAGTTATGACGCGAAGTATCTTTTGACCATTGGAATGGATGAAGATGAAGAGCACTACTCGTTAGATTTGTGGTTCTGGACATACGGACTCCAAGAGTCGCATTTTACAGTGAAAATAAAGGCGAGTTATGGAAAGCCTAAGAAAATTTGTTTCCATCCCACCAATCAACATCATGTGATGGTTGTGTTTGAAAAACAGGTGTTTTTCTGTGTTATTGAGGATGAAAATAAGAGTATTATTAATTTCGAGACACCGTATATAACATTTAGATCGACGATGGGGATATTTCACAGTGGAACATACATAGAAAAAAGGCACAGGTGTTTTGTTTGTAGCGATAAAGGTTATGTGCTCATTTTTGCAAACACGTTGTACCTAAGAAGCTATTTAGAAGCAGAACTTAATAATACTAAAATATACCTCAAATCAATAAAGGTATCGAAAACACCAATTGTGGAAGCCAAGGCCTTAGACAATTTGGTAGCACTTGGTGATATTGTCGGCAGAATATACTTAATGGATGTGACTCTAACAATTCTGTATTATTACGAGAAAGAAGAACTTATCGGTGTTCGCTACTTCTCCTTTGCTCTTATTTTCGGCAATACCGAACGAGAAGAACTCAAAACTATTGAGGTAGAAAGCCCAGATGCTTCAGAAAACTCGCAAAGTTCTGAGACTAGAAGGTGCGAGGAAGCCCTCAAAGAACATCCTTGTCCATCCGATTACACGGTACAAAGAAAACCAGTTGAATACAAACCATTTTTCGCCCTTACAGAAAATTGTTCTTTATTCTTGATCGAATATTTCAAGGAAAACATTAAACCCATATTTCCACCAGTGGATTCTCCTGTTACGTCTATTGAAGCCCACCACGAGTTACCCTTTCTATTGGTGGGTCATGAGAACGGTAAGGTCAAAATGTTAGATTACGAAAAACAAGTAAATGTATGCGAAATTATTTTGCCGAAGTGTGAAGACCACGATGCTGATATTGAAAAACCCGAATCTATTAAAGTCATTAAATATTCCAACGAGTCGATACATTTAGTTGTCAGCAACAATACTGGTGAAATTTTTGTTTTGGATTCCATTTTACTGACTAAATTAAATAAAAAGCCCTTAAGAACTTCTACTGGTAGAATTGTGAAGATAGTATTTAACTTTGATTCTACTCAATTTGCTTATTACGACATTGAGAATACAGTGGTTATATACCAATATAAAGCTGACAAAAATGAATGGGTGGGCCTTGGCAAACTCGTACCCCACTACCACCCAATAAACGACATTTTGTTCATACCAGAATACGAGCATTCTTCCTTGGTAACCATTGGTTCAGACAGATACATAGTGAAGTACAATAATGTCGGACTCAACTTTGGCGATTCCTTTGACATAATGATCAGGGAGAGAATAGAACAATCTGCAAAACCGCAGTGCTTTGTTTACTATACCAAAAACGTGAATGATTCTTTCACGGGATACTATATTATTGTCGACGATCAGTACAAATTTAAGCTTGTCAGTAACTTAACAATGATGACAAGACAAACGTCTTTGGGGCCAGCCTTTGGAGCTTTCAAAGGACATCACATAACAAAGTTGATGCTACCAGAAGCTCTTGAATATAAATACTACTTATTTATGGTGGACAAGCAAATAGGCTTGCAAAAAGCCAACTTGGATGGAAATCCTTATAGTTATGTGGGCTATCACGTACATCCGACACCAGTGACTGATATGGTATTATCGCACGATGGCAAATACGTGTTTACTTTCTCGACAGGTTACAAGATAGTTTTCAAGTGGGAAATACAAACTAAGGCAGTGGATGTGGTGTATTTGCTTGGAGGAAAAGAGTTTGAACCATTTTATTGCCTTTTAGAAGGTGGTAAAAACGGCTGGTTGTTTCGGGAGCTGCAAGATTTGTTTTTCTACATGCAAATATTACACCAGGGAGAAAATGTGGTTCTACCAAGAAAATTCAGCGATACTATCGACATATCGGAACTTCCTGACTTGGTGCGAGCCGGGGGTTACTATCCTTCCGAATTCGAAATTGAAAACTTGATAATTGAGGCCCGATATCACAGTTTAGATGAAACGTCCAAAGTTCAAACCCAAATTTCGTTCTTTGAGTTTCTCAAGCTTTATATTAACCATAGGCCCGCCCATGGGTACAAATTGACCGAACTAGAAGAAACATTTAATGTGTTTGCCAATATGCCTGAAGACGCTGAATTGGATGGTTCCATATACAGGGACGAGTATTTAGAGATATTGACGAAGTACGGTGAAGGTATATCGATGGACAATTTAAGAAAATGCTTTTCAACCTTGAGAAGAGTCGATCTTAATGTAGATGATAATGTTATTTTTACCAACTCATTCGATTTTGAAACTTTTACATCGGAAATTTTGGGCATTGAGATGGATAGAGAGAAGGTGGACGACGAAGATAAAGATATTACTGATAGCCTGCAAAGCGAGCGAAGTCACAGTACTTTGTCCGACTAAATACAATTTATATACAAATTAAATTTTATATTAATTATTTTTTCAATCGTTTATTTGAAAGCTTTTATTGAAAAGGGTAAGTTTGACAAACGCTAAATTTAATAAATTTAAATATAATGAAGTAAAGTGATAATAATTACGTGGCGAGCGAAGTGTGCGAACAATTTCGTAAACCAAAAATAGGTAGTCGGCCCAAATGAAATATTAATTGCTACACGTTGCACTTAATACAAAATTCATAATTACTAACGAGGTTGATAAGGGAATTGGTTAGAAAATTATTTTGTGTTCGTTAGAAATTATGCGGCGAACGTCCACACCAATCGATAGATCATTAATTTGGAATTATATTTCGTGTAATTTTACCTAAGCAAAATACGATTTAATGCATGAAATTATCCAATTTAAATTAACCTAATTTGACCAGCAAACATTCAATTACAGCGCATTTGCCGTAAAGGATATTATTTAAAACTAAAAAATCGCACACCTATCAGTTCGTAATTGATATTTCTCTTTAGACAAAAGGGATTATAATGAAAATCCTTAGCAGGGGAGCAAAGTCATTTTAAATCAATTTTGACTGGAAATGTTGGGAAAATCGCGATATTTCCAATAATTGCCAAAAGTCATTAAGATTATTGATTTTGCCAATAAGATTTTTATAATCGGCTTAATTTAAAAATATATGTCTCTCGTATTTCGGCTTATTTAACTTTATAAAGAAACTCTAAATATACTTTTAAAATAATAGTCTTTGTAAATACAGGGTGTCACCAAATAAAATCATTTTATATCATTTCCTCACTCTCTAAAAATGAATTAGTCAAAAATGACTTATTTAATAGTTATTAGTGGCTGCTTTTTTACTTGTACCATGGTTAACCATGGAATACTATGGTATCCCAAAATTTAACAGCCAATTGTCCCCTGAATCCGAAAATGTCAAAAGTTAAAAAAAATAGAACAGTTTTTGAGATATAGTCAATTTTCCATTTTATATGGAATTGACTATATCTCAAAAACTGCTCCACTTTCATAATTTTTGACGGTACTTTTGGATTCAGGGGACAATTTTACATAAGAATTGGATGTTAAATTTTGGGATACCATAGTATTCCATGGTTAACCATGGTACAAGCTAAAAAGCAGCCAATAATAACTATTAAATTAGTCATTTTTGACTAATTCATTTTTAGAGAGCAATACCAAAAATTATTGAAAAAAATTGATATCAGAAGTAAATTAAGCACCTTAAAAACATAAAAAAAATCCGTGGTGGGAAAAATATTTAAAGAATAATTTTTTCCGCTTAAATTTACCTGTCAGACCACTGGTTTTGTTAAAAAAAAGTATATTTTTTTATTAAAAAAACAGGCTATAATGCAAAAATGAAAGGAAAAACTTTCTTGTTTTGGCGACAATTTATTAGGTGTATTTCGCTAAAAGAATTAAATAATAATATACACGTTAAAACATAAATTGGTGTTTAACACCGTTAACACGTTACATTAGGGTTTATCTTATTTTTTGTTAGAAAAATATAATTGGATATAAGTACCGGATAAAGTTGTAAAGTAAGCGGCATTTCTTTAAGTAAGCCCTATAATTACCATGTACGTAAATTTAAGAATAGGCATATATTCATAGAGCGTAAGAAATTCTAGACCGTTGAGTGAGACATTTCTCACCAAACTCACGAGACATTGATACGCGCCTGACAGAACTATAATTTAAACTCGACAAAATTCATCAATCGGTAGCTGTAAGAATATTAATTAAAAAACATTTTTACTGCCGTTGAAAAACCGTTTTAAAACGCATAAATTAGATATCCATTAATTTTAAAAGGGGAGCATAGGTGTGCACAGGAAGGCAGGCAGGCATATTCTTATATATAGACGGCGAAGAATTAAAACCTTCAAGTATGGTTCAGCACAAGTTCATTGTACCTGCACATATCCTTCAGATCCTGTGAATTCCACCATAAATAAATGCATTGTCCTTTATAGTATTCCTTCCTGGAAAACTTGTTTTCCACCAGCCAAACTTCTCTTAATAATAATTTCCGCCATATTAAATATTTACAATGCGAAATTAATTTATCGTTCCAAATGGTACGTTATAATAAATATAATTAGAGAGGGTGAATACAAACCATTTTCAAAGGATTAAAATTTGGAGTGACCTTAGGCCATACAGGCAAAATTACAAATTAAATCTGATTAATCTAGAAAATACGTTTTAATTTAAACTTTATAAATACAAAATGTGGATAGAGAGAACTGTTTAGTAATGATGACTAAAAAATCAAGCTTATAACCAACAACTAAACACACAAGCACTCATTCTCAAAATGCCCAAGTTGTCCCCAATTTACTTTTTCATTTTATCATTACTAAATTTAGTTCTCTCCGTGTACGTATAAAATATGTTTTCTACTCCCACCTTTAAAACGCCCTTTATCGTACATGTTTCCATGACAAGTTGAGGCTGTATGGCGCTTGAGTTATGGGCAACAGGTTTTTAGTCACGGGCTGAAGTTAGCTTTAAGTTAGTTGACAGTTTTCAAATGTCATAAAATCGCTAAAATAAAGTGCCTTTATTTGAAAAGATTACATGAAGGTTTGTAATGACCTTTTGATTTCGCTGTAGTAGTGCAGTTAACTAGATTCTCTGAGTACAGTGCCCATAAAACATTCTCTTCTCTTTTACTGTAAAAAAACTGTTTCTATATCGATTGTTAGTCCATTTTCAAGGGGTAAATTTTGATTTACACAGAAAAATTTGACATATTAACGCCGGTAGATTGCCAAGTTAGAAATTCTAACGGGAATTCCAATAAATACAAGTGTCACTTTTTGTACTTGAATTTTTAATACTTTGTGTTTAGTAATTAAAAAAACAAAGGATAAAATATTTTAATTAAGAAATCATATTTTGACGTTCGTGCTCGGGCCTAAATTAAATTCGTGATTAAAATGGCGTTTATCAAACTTAATACATAATAATATTATATTATACTATTAAACGAACTGATGTTTAGAGAGCTGTTAAAATATGATAAACTAAAAAAAATCATGTGAGACTTGGACCACCCTAAGTTTAATTAAGTCTATAATTATTAAAAGAAAAAATTATTTGACATTGTTAACTACATACCTATACTCAGAAAAAAATGTTATAAAATCAATAAAAAAATAATAATTCAAAGGGATTCAAATATGTTATGGATTTATTGGTGTGTCCCATTAAATTAATAGATGTTTAACAATTTTATGATGCATATTTTTTTGAAACATTATTGAGAAACGCATTGAAATAGTAAAATTTCTTTTCGTATATTTATTATGTATCAAGTTTTATAAACGCCATTTTAGTTACGAGTTTTATTAAGCACGAGCGTAGCTTGCGAGCGAGTGGTTAATAAAAACGAGTGTCTAGAGAAGTTTTTAAAACGAGTATACTTCATCTACGACGAACAGAAATATGAATTTAAAGCCAATTTTAATTAATAAATATTTGACATCTGACGAATTTAACCTCACTTTTTCGCAATTTATAAATACAACTTCAGCCCGTGACTAAAATGCCCAAAATCCACTGTTGCTAACTTCAGTCCGTGACTAAAGCGCCATAAAGTCACAGCTTGTCAATGTGGGAGTAGATACAAGTGTTTAAATACATTGTAAAACTGTTGCTAAATAAATATAAAACTACACATTTTTCTATTTGAATCAAATATACCCGATTATTTAAATTAATAGAATTTTGTTTTTCATTACATAATATTTCTCTGACTGTACCGATTTCTACTTACTTAAGTGGTCAACTTGATCAAGATCGTTTGATGATGTCTAAAGTTATCAGCTTACCATTGCTAACAAAGTTATTACCTACTTTAACAACAATCAGAAAGTTTAAGTGCTTATTAATCATTTATTAAGTTTAGGGTAGTTATGCAATAATAATTTTTTGTTGCAAATAAAACTAGGCTTTTAAAATAAGTAAAAATATACAATGTGTCACATTTTAAAAAATGATATATTTGTGAAAATTTCGGAATCCCGACCTTCAATTGTTTTTCGGATTTCAGCATTTTAATCGGAAGAAAAAATGTCACCAACTTGTTAATCGTAACCGTCTTTGTAAATCAATAATAACGGAGTTAGCAAAGGTATACCTTTGTATATATACAAGGCAATTAGATCGTTTGACCACTTTATTAAGAAGACATTGGTATGTAACTTTAAATGTGAAAACATTTTAATAATAAGCGATTAAATTGATTTGTTCTATTTTAATTTAATTTGGATGTAAGAACTTAAACACGTGCTTTCAGTTTGCTTAAAATCGCTTTAACATTGTAACCTTTATTATTAATGCCTTCGACTACCTTTTCAGTATGGGCGGGACACATTTTATAGGTCGTTTTTTACCCAATTAAAAGCTTCCAATAGTTCAACGGATTTCATTTAGAACAATACCTACGTTTGTGATGTCGCAACACAACGTTTATTTTTTTAATTGATAATTATTATGTAACGATTTTGCAACAACGTGTGCATATTTAATTCTTTGTTTTAGCAGATAATCAATCATCGACCAATATTGGGAAACTTTTGTGGGTGATTTATTATTTTTTAAATATTAAGGCAACATTGTTGAAATAATTATCGTCAGTCGTTTTCTCGCAACAATGGATCGCTTAAAAAAAATTCAAACTTACTGTGCAGTATCACTGTACACAAAACCTGTTGTTCTTCTTAAACATTCATCGGCATGTCTCAACGCAAAACGTAAGGTTTGCCTTTGTTGCGACTTAAATTTATTGTGAAATACTTATGTGAAGTTTGTCTGGGGTAGTGCGCGTTCATATCAAAGGCAATTTATTTCTATTGATTTATTTTAACTCCCAAGTCTACATAAAAACGTAAAGTAATGAAGCATATAAAAATAAAAGTTAATAGGAATAAAAAACTATACAAATAAGTTTTCATCCTTTAAGGGGATGAT